TTCGGTAACTAACGCTTCCGTAATGTCAAAGGTGTGATACGCTAAAACGAAAGCAAGGAATTCTTGGTACCCGATCTGGTGGTCATCTCTGTCAAGAAGCAGATCCCATACCTGCTCCGGAACAATTGCGCACGTCCACAACCAGGTGAAATTACCTCCTGGCTCGTGGAACGCTGCCACCGCTGCAATGCATCTGCTCTCACCCGACGCATCTGTAAACATCGTTACTCTGCGTCGTCTTGAAACGTCAGCAAAACGACGATGAGGTGGCCGTAGCGACAGGTAGTGCTGCCAGAAAAAGTTAGCTCTCCGGAGCAGAGGCGGCACGCCGGGTAGAGGCGCGTAGGCCTGCGCAAAGAAAGGCTTGACGAATGCTCTGCCTACTTTGCACCTGGAAGACGTAATGGCTGACCCGAGGCGACCCGCTGTACGAATGGCTGTGTGTGGGTCAATACAGCCTTCCTGGAGCTGCACTTCGAGATCTCGAAGCCAGCGCCGGGCCTTCTCTGGCGACGCGGATGATGAAATGGCTCCTCCTTCGAGGTAGACTTCCACTACCGTGCCCAGTACAGGGAGCCTCAAAGTAGCATCTTCGTCTTTAGCTGGATCTGTAACCAAGCCCAACAATGCCAAGACTTCGGTCACCAACCAGCCTCCCGTGACTCCTACGCCCTTCCTCGACACTCCGAAGAAATCGTCCACGTACCTGAATACAGGCGCGTGGAACTTTACGAGGACAACGTGCCGGACAAAACTCCCTAGCCGGTGCCACGCCGCATTTGCGGCTGAGGCTCCAAACATCATGCCGAAATGGCGTGCGCACCACAACTTACCGTTCCAGGTGAAAACAAACCACGAGAATTCCTCGTGCTCTGCTGAGATTGGAACCCGCCGGTAAGCTTTTGATACGTCCCGTTTCCACAGGCGAGGTTCGACTCCATGACGGAGAAGGTGAAGCGCAGCTGATACTAGCTCGTCTATTCCGTCATGCTGGGCCCGATCAGGGATGAAAGTGGCTTTGTTCTGCCCCCCTTCCGTTTCGTCATCAATTGGCCTCGTTCTCCACCCTTTTGAACGCTCTTCCCTTGCAGGAAAACGTCTCGCCAGGGTTTTGGATTGCACGATGTCTTGAGTTAGCAATTGAGGGACTGAGCAGAAGCCATCCCTGGCATCTTCTAGGGTGAGCTTCATGATGTCATCGTCCCATTCGCTGGGTCGCATCTCCGTGATAATCCGCAAATTTCGGTCTTCGCGTTCGTTCCTCAGCTGCTCTACCTCGACAGGATTCCAGGTAGGCTTGCCGTCGGGCCGCGTGTCCGGCCCGCTCCGAGGAAGCTGACCGACCAACGGGAATCCCGCTAAGTCGTCTAGTAATTGCGGATCCTGTGATTGGTAGTTCAACTCAGCGAACAAGCAGCGAAACAAAGGAATATTGAGTTTCGCTGCAACAGGATTGCGCTCGCTGTCCAGTTGTGGAGCGCTAGCAATTCCGCTGCTCGCGGAGGCCGCGCGTTGCTGCAGTTCTTGGAACGACGCAAGGCGAAAAGCATCTATGTCTTGAGCTCCATGGTCCCTCTCCCAATCTAGAGCCGGACTCTATCAGGAAGTACTCTGTGGAGTAGATCTTCTTCGTCAGGATGCCGTGCTGCGAGCGCGAAAGCTACGTGCTCCATGACCGAGAGCCCCTTTGGGGCGCCCAGGCCCCGCGGAACAAACGGACCCTCAGGGTCAAGTAGGGCATGGTTGCGGTCACTTGCACAATCGGCACCGCTGCTGCCGGCATCTGCTTCCTCTGCATGCGCAGAAGATAGTCAATACGACCCGCGACCGCCAGACTTCCCCGCCTTCCTGTCCTTGAAGTTCAGGAACTTCATCCGCTTGTTGCTGACCCAGCCCTCGGTCTCAGAGTGCTGCCAGTTCGTGTTGTCGGCCCCCTTCTTTCCTCCTCCTTTGCCCCCCTTGCCGTCCGCCAGCTGCTTCTGCACCCACGCGTGCGTCTGCTTCGCCTGGCTGAGCTGCTGCTGCGTGTGCGCCAAGGACTTGGCTGCCTCCGCCGAACGCTTCTGGATTGCGTCGGCTGCTGCCTGCTGCTTGCAGAGGACGGACTCAAGAGGATATTGCGAGGGGAGCGAAGCGCCTGCTGAAACCGGCGCGTTGGTCGACCTCAGACCTGCTGCCTCGAGCACGGACTCCAGGCGCAGTGTGGCCGCCTCAAGGATTGTCTCGTCCACCGTTCTGAAGGATTTCTGCACGTCCAGATCTGGCTCCGATAAGTTTGCCCTCTTGGCCAACTGCCGCCGGAACAAATCATCGTATAGGATGATCAGGGACTGGCTGTGCTTCACCGACTTGTGCTTCTCCACGAGCTTCGCCAACTCGTCTTTGTAGCAGATGACAGTGGCCCACGTTAGCTGCTGCATTGCCACGGCTGCCACCGCGTAGCGGTCGAATGCCGTGGTCCACTGCACGAAGGACCGGAAGAAACGGCGGGTGGCCGTTGCACTCCTCAACGCGCTGGTAAGCTGACCGAGCGTTGCAACTGACGACGACGGGTCCAGCGTCGAACCCCATTCGCCACCTGTGAGTGCCTTACCCCCGATGGCGTCTGAGGGGAGCCACAGCGGGAGGATCTCTTTGGCTGTGAGATCTACATACGAGAACGCTTTCCGACTGTTCTTCTCAGCGGCAACGTTCTCTGCGTGCAGCACACGCCAAACCAGCTCTTCAGCCTGGAGGTGGTACGGGAGCCCTCCGAGCCCCGCTTTGGCAAGCTTGTCTGCGACATTCACCTTGTCATGTGCTATCGCCAACAGCTTTGCCACCACCTCTGCTGAGTAATCTGCCCCAACCATGTCCAGGACATCCTGTTGCATGGCTTGGGGAAGGGTTGGCTGGTGCTGCTGTGGGAGAACAGATGTAGCAGGTGCTGACGCTGCACCACTGCTCTGCTGCTCGGGGTTTGCAAACCGAATTGTACGACGGGCGAGTCCCAACACAGGCAGGGGCAAGTCGTTCTTCACATCTTTTTCAACCAGGCCGATCAGCTGACCAGGGTCGGTGATCTTGTTCTCCTTGAAGTAGGCCGCCGTTGCCGCCAGGATCTCTCCTGCTGGCTCTTTGGCGTCCACGTTCTTGATGTAAGTCTCCAAAGAAACCTCTGTCATCGGGAGAACTGGGATGACCAGAAGCTGAAAGTGTGTATAAATTTTTGCGCTCAACCGCTTGAGCCGCCTGAGCCCAGACGGCTACGGACCCGCTCTCTCCGTCCCGTGTGGCGCAGCACACGGTGCATTCGCTGGGGTCACCGAAAGAAGCAGCACCTGCTCGGTCTGGGTCGAGAGCCCAGGAATGGATGAGAGCGAAGCACGGTTATTAGCTGAGGTCCCACCAGGACCCCACAAGAAACGAGTTGCTCTGACAGGATTCGGAGGCGAGTCCGTGAATGGCGACAATGGCGAAGCACGGAAACTCCATGACGGTCGTGCGACGACAGCCGAAACCAGAGGGGAGAGGAGGAGCTCGGAATCTCAGATCGCGGCGGGGCCAGAGATCTGGAACGCAGGACGCCTGAAACCCTCCGACAGGATGGGTGCCGGCGCCGTTGCCCTGCTCCTCTCCTCCCTGCACCGCCTGTTGTCTGAGCACGACACCCACTCGAACGCCTCGCTCTCCGAGACTGTCTGGTGGCTCCCTGCTGGGAGGGGACGACAGACGAAGAGAGGGGGAAGAGGAGGAGCTCGGAATCTAAGATCGCGGCGGGGCCAGAGCTCTGGAACGCTCGGCGCCTGAAGCCCTCCTACAGGATGGGTGCCGGCACCGTCCCAACTCCTCCCTCCACTCTACGACCGTCGTCCGAGAGTCGTTCACTGGCTCCTTTGGGCAAGCTCCCAACGAGTTGGGTTTCCGCCTTCTCACAAGAAACAACTTCTCCTTATCGCATCCCGAGGCTGGTCGGAGGGGTGGGCCGGGCGTTTCGCCTGATACTTCCTTGCCACTTATGGTCCTGGAGCAAACAAGTTGGCAACAGTGGAAAGGATGGATGGCGGGCCGCTTCCAAAATGTGGCTCTCGCCTGAGTGCCGCGCACACTCGTGATGAAACAATTGCAAGAGCTTCGCGCATTGCAAGCGGGTGGATTTCAAAATGTGGCTCTCGCCTTGGCACCGCGCAGATTTGTGAAACAACAAAAACGCAATGGTTTCACGGATTGAGTTCGGGCCTTTTTCAGCATGTGGCTCTCGCATTAGTGCCGCTTACACTAGATTCATTATTTGCAAGACTTTCACACGGATTCTGGGCGGTTCCTTTCACAATGTGGCTTTGGCCTTAGCGCCGCGCACACTCGCTTAAACAAGTTGCATGTGTTTCGCGGATTACCATGGTTAAACATTACAATCAATGATGTTTTAGAGCAATTCATGATTGTCAAAGCGCAGCCATTACATGAAGTCGCGGTGTCGAAGTCCCAGGAATGGTTTTCTGGCACGATACAGGATCGGCACGACGCAACAATCAAAACTGGTGTTGGAATCCCGACAGTGGTATTTTGGCACGCTTCAAGATCATCAACCGGTCGTCTCTTAACGGAGTATTTCCTCGAGTGGAAATAACGCCGTCTAGGGGCCTATGCAGAGGGAGCATGGAGGGAGGGTTTATTCCAACATCGTTGATGAGTATTAGGTTGACGCTGGTCCTCCCTCCTCCTCCTCCTCCTCCTCCGCGTCTTCCTCCTCCTCCCCCTCCCTCTGCCCCTCCTCCCACTCCTCCTCCTCCTCGTCGTCCTCCTCCTCCTCCTCCTCCTCCTCCTCCTCCTCCTCCTCCTCCTCCTCCTCCCCATGTCCTATCCTCAACTCTCCTCCTCCTCCTCCTCCTCCTCCTCCTCCTCCTCCCTCCTCCCCCCTCCTCCGCCCTCCCTCCTCCTCCGTCCTCCGCGGCCTCCCGCCAGCCCCACCCCGCCGCCCCCTCCCCTGGAGCGCGGGCGCGCGCAGGCGCGCGCCCAGCCTGCCAGGCGGCGCGGCCGGCGGGAGCAGGCAGCGCGCGCGCTCGGCGGGCGGGCACCGGGAGAGCAGGGCCTCGGCGGCGGGGCCCTCGCCGCCGCCGCCGCGGGCGACGTCGTCGGTGCCCTCGCCGCCGTCGTCGTCGTCGCCGCCGCCGGCGTCGTCGCCGCCGCCGTCCTCGGCGTCGCCGTCGCCGTGCTCGTGCCGTCGTCGTCGTCGGCGTCGGCGTCGCCGTCGTCGCCGCCGTCGTCGCCGTCGCCCCACGGGGCACCCCGCTCGCGGGGTGGGCGGGGGAGGATGGGGAGAGAGGAGGAGGGGGAAGGGGGGAGGGGAAGGGATTAGGATGAAGAGGACCGACAGAAAGGTTAGGAGGTAGAGGAGGATAGAAGGAGGAACAACACAAGGAATAACATAAATAGGAGTGGAAGATAAAACCGGCGGAGCAGCAGTGACACTAATCACTAATCAGAATAATGATCGTACGATGCAGCATTTGATGAAAAGAGGGGCAGCAGGAGGATGCGCAAGACGCGCATGAAGCAGAAATGAAAAGGAAGCAAGGCAGGGACGAAATTGGGAGTGGCGGGGGAAAAGCGGCAGATGGAGAGGAGACGGGCAGTGGGTAGCAGGGAAGGGAATGGGGGCCGTGGGGAAGGGGGGGGGAAACCAGAGAGCCGTGCTCATGTGTGCGTGTCTGCATGCATGTAAAAATCAAATCTGTTCTGGGTGCTGCCTCAAACGAACGTGCGATATACTTCGATGTCCTACACGTTAGTTTTCGCCTGTTGGATGAAGAGTGCCGCACGACAGCGAGTTCGCCACAAGATCCACATACTCTAATTGACCCCAACTTGCGCGACGTTCGTACCGTTCAACAATGGTCATCCAATCGTTCCTTCTGCACATGCATCTTAAACAGTGTCACGACCCGACGGTGTTACATCCTCCTTGAAATACGATCATGTGTTAAGCCTCTGCGGCCTCAGCATATGGCGCATGGCGCAGCATGGGGGGCACTTACATTCATAGAAGTCATACATGCCTGGCTTGATGAAAAAAACAACCTCTCCGCCTTGAGCCATGCCCTATATGCGTTGCACATGAATGCGCTGTAGTGCGTTTGTCCACGCAGCCGAACCATATGTTTGGCTTGTACATGTGTACGCAGACCTTCAATTTGCCTGTGCGTTCCCGTTGAATGTCCCTTTCGCCTCCCCCGTCATCCCTTTCAATGTCCCCACGTGTACATTCATCGCCCCGAATTTCCAATCGCCATAATTATTACCTTCACTGCGGCATCCCCTTCAGTTCCGTTCGACTCACACTTAGTATCCTGTCGGCCGCCTTTCGGGCTTCGCTATAACTCCACATTCGACTCCCTGCGCTGTCTTAAAAGTCTTCGCTACACTCTCGGGGATATTTCCCCCGACGCGGCACCGTTGCCCACAGAACAACTGGAAGACAAATGAATGCTGTTGCGCCACAGCCACATACATTCTGTTGCGCCCTGACCACGTGCATTCTGCTGCTGCGCCCCCCACTCGAACACTTCTGGAAAGGCCGCGGGGAGGTCGCAGAAGGCTGGGGGCGCGAAAGAGCCAGAACAACTGAATACAACGATGCCAATTACATACTACATTGGGTAACTTGTTGGAGAAGCCGCGTGGAGGCCGCGCAAGAACCACATACAGACACTCCGATCTGGATCTCAGTTATATGGTAAGTGTATCATGTTTGGTGCTCCCAGTCACACACATGTTGTTGCTCCGCACACTTCCCTGCAACATGTTGACTGCAGCACCCTCCGCGGGGTGATCCCCTCGGCGTCACCCACTCCATTCGATTCAATGAATTGAAGTAAATCGGTGGGGACTGGTTTGGGGCGCTTCTCGCGGGATATCCTCGGAATCTGTACCTGGTCTGGCCTGGTTTGGCCGAGCGCCTCGCCTGAGACATCCTGAGACCTCGGTTGGTTTGGGCGCTGGTTTGGCCTGGCTTGCTGGCGGTTTTCGCCTGAGACGTTCTCGCAGTTTGCCTGGTTTGGTCGGGTTTGGGGCCAGGTTCGCCTGAGACGTCTCACAATTTGCCCTGTTCGTTTTGGTTTCGGCGCAACTTCGCCGATGACTTCCTTGCAATTTGTCTGGGTTGGCTTGGTTTCGGCCCGGTCTCGCCTGAAACGTCCTCACAATTTGCCTGGTCTGGCTTTGTTCGGCGCGGTTTCGCCTGAGACGTCCTCACGATGTGCCTGGTTTTGCGGCGGTTTCGTTCGAAGCGTCCTCTCAAGCTGCTAGTTTGTTTTGTTTCGGGGTGGATTTCGCCTTCAGCGTCCTCATACTTGACCTGGTTCGATAATGGTTCGGGCGTAAGATATTCGGTGCAAGCCCGCAATGCAGCAACCTATACAGTGTACGCTATGTGATGACAAATACGTGGATGCGGTGGAAGCCGTGTGATGCAACCCCACATTGTCGCCAGCTGTGCGGTGCAAGCTATGCGGTGCAAAATACGTTGTGAAAGCTTTGTGGTGCAAACCCACATCGTCAAAAGCTACACATTGTAAGCTGTGTGGTGTCCAACATACGGTGGAAGCCTTGTTTAAGCTATGTGGTCTTAACCACATCGGCTCACCCTTGCTGAAAAGTGGCCGGCTGAAAGCCGGCCTTGGCCCGCGAACCGGCGTGAGAAGAGAACTCCTCCGAGGATATAATACAAGGAGGTTACCTGTAGGATCGCCAAGGACTTGCAACTCATGTTTCTATCCGCGGAACAGTTAGCATGGAAAGTAGGAGGATGATTGGGGGGTGGGGGGGGGATGACGAGGGATAGCAAGGAAGGAGGGACGAAAGGAGCGGGACGGGGAGCAGAAGGAGGAACGATGCTGACTATGGTGATGGTGATGTGAGAGGGAGGAAGAAGATGAAGACCATGATGGACCCAAGATGCGTCCACGATGCTGCAGTACACCCTTCCGTCCCAGATCCCGTCCTCGTAGGTCCCTGCACGCCTCCCTTTTCACTGCACACAAGAAGCTCGGGGATCTTGTCAATCCAGACCTGGGTCAGCCAAGCCTTGCAGAATCCTGCAAGATCCTGCCAGACCCTGCACCTAACCCCGGGTCAATGCGAAGGATCCTGCAAGATCCTGCAGGATCCTGCACCCAAGCCCGGGTCAATAGGAGCCTGGCCCTGCAGGATCTTGCAAGATCTGGCGCTCTGGCTGACCCCCGTTTGCATTGACCCCCGTCTCAAGGCTCCCGAGAAGCGCCCCCGCTTGGGAGACTGGAAGTCCTGTGGGCCTGCCGTCCAGGCGGGAGCCCAGCTTTGAGAGGGAACTGCCGTGCGTTCTGCTGGCGACCAACGCGGCACGCGGGGCGGCACGGCCATATAGACTTCAGCGAGGAGTCCACCGATATTCCCGTTTTGACTTGGGGCCGCCCCACCAAAGTAGCACTTGTACGATTTTACTTTGTTAATACCAAGAGAACTTCGAGGTCGCCTCTCGGAGATGGACAGAGCCCCCTTTAGCAAAACGTGGTTTCGTGAAAACGACCTCGGGCCCAAACCCGGCGGGCGCAAACATAGAATATGACGCGGCGCCCTCTCGAGAACCGAAGACGGATAATTCACGAATCGACGTGCCGGGGTGGAGGAGAGGGAGGAGGAGGAGGACGAGGACGAGGAGGAGGATCGATTCCATTCTGTAGAGGAGCCGCTCTGCATCCGCGCAGCTGCTGCACCAGTTCAAGCGTCATGGTCTTCTGCTTGAAGCAGGTCCGAAGCCAAACCCCACACTGGTTCTGCAAAAGGAGCCACCCTTTGTCCCCGTAGCCGCGGCAAGCCTTCAAGACCAGTGTGCGCGGCGCCACGGCGGGAACCCCATTTTGAAGAGGCACCGCCCTCCATCTTTGAAGCATTTGCAAGCATTCGAGACGCGGGTGCGCGGCACTAAGGCGAGAGCTCCATTTTGAAAAGGAACCGCCCTCCATCCTGGAAGCTGTTGCAAAGTTGTGCGGCGAATGTGCGCGACGCTGAAGCAAGAGCCTTGCTTTGCGCTAAAGCGATAGCCACATTGTGACGTCCCCCATCCATCTGTGAAGCTGTTGCAAACGTTTTAAACGAATGTGCGTCGCGCGAGAGCCCCATTGTGAAAACGACCCCCCTCCATCCTTCTAACGGTTGCGAATCTCAAGCTTCCAGATCACAGATGATGGAGGAGTCTCATGCGAAACGCTTGGCCCGCCCAACTGACACGCCTGGGGCTGCGACAGGGAGGAGCTACCTGGAGAAAAGAGGCACGGAGGAGGTGGAATGCGACACCCCCTGAGATCGAGTCAACCGTGCACTCGCGCAAGATGCTAGGAATGACACTCAAGGTGTTGCGCAAGCGGCCTTGGTCTACCGAGGGAGGGACGGGAGGGTGGTTGATGCACCGTTTCGGGCTGGTGTTGGGGGGCAGAGGTTTTTTTTCGGGGTGGGTCGCGGGTCCCCCTGGGCCCTCTTCCAAGCTAGATCCGAGCATCACAACAAGCATCTCGCGTTCGGAATCGAAATGTGTTGGGAATCGACAGGGCGCCCGTTTGCTCCTCCTCCTCCTCCTCCACCACCTCCCCGTTGTTTTGCCGTGTCGCTCCCTCGTCGAGTCGCCTGGGAAAAAGTTGTGTCCTTCTGCCGAGCTGCGACCGCTGCCGATGGCTGCATTCGCCTCAAAATTCGAAGAGGGCCGCTGTGGACTAGCAATATCGGTACCTCGTTGGCACCCCACATGTTGGATAAACAAAAACTTTCGAAGGTTCGCGAGGATTTCTCGAGTCGGCGCTGGACCCCCCTCTCTGCCGTTCGCGCCGCTAAGTTGGGTCCCCGGCGCCGGATTGAACATTGACAAATTGAAAAAAGTGAGAACTGAGGCTTTCGGATTGAAAAATTAGACATTGAAATTGAAAATGGAAAATCTCAATCTTGGAGTTGCGGATTGAGAACCGAAATATTGAAACTGTCAATCCCGGTGTCGCCGATTGAAACATTGAAAAATTGAAAAACATTTCTGTTTCAAGTTTTCCATCCGGGTAGATCGGAATT